AGACTTTTGTAATTATGAGAGCTTTTTTCCAACATAAGATTTAATCGCTGAATTCTGATATAATATGGCAAAAACTGTGCTGGATTTTATGAGGTCATTAAAGAAAAAAAGTCCTACTTTCTACACTGACAATATTTTTTTTCAGAAAGATTTCCTCTTCGGTGTACACAGCAGATAAACCTGAAGAGCTTTGTTACTGAAGCATGAATAGCTAGTTCAGCTCTGTGAATAAATAGTAGTTTAGAGAATCAAATAATCATGAAAATGTCATGGAAAATCAAGGCTCCTAAGTCTGAAACTGAATTAGCTTCTGGTTTAACAATTCTCTCCCCCTGCAGATCAGAAGTTATATTGTGTATGTTTATGCAGATGAATTTGGATGTGTAATTAGATGTTTTGCCTCTTCATTTGCACATAGAAGGGCTTTCCTTCTATGTCTGGCTACTGAAAAAAAAACATTTATGCATGAATTTTAAGAAACAAAATTGAAATGAGCTCACAGAGGCTGTGGAATCTTCACCCTTGATATTCAAACATTGACTGGACATGGCTTTCACCATCCTGCTTTGAGTGGTCCAGGTTTGAACAGGATCCTGGAGTAGAGACTTTGGGAAGTGTCCATCAACCTATGACTCTATTGTTATGACATTAAACAATAAAACTAGCTGCAGTGATGGAGAAGGGCAAGATGACAAAGTAAGCTGGTGTTTGAAACCCAACTTGTGTATTCTTCCTGTGAGTACAAAATATTTTTCAGATGTTTAATATCAGTTTTCAAAAGGATCAGGAGCTTCGCATCTCCTGATATCAGGAATTGTTTCAGTGTTGTATCAGTCAGCCTTGTACCACTCAGGACAGTAAGAGTAAACATTGTTATTCTTGGGAAAACTAGGGTAGTGAGTCAACTGAGGCAAATTATATGTCAGAGTTAGAGGCAGACACTCTGATCCTGAGCTTCTCTGTCCTTCCTTCACATCCACCTCCACCCACTGAACTAACCATAAATCCCTGAAGTCTATGGAATTGCAGTCTCCCTGCAAGCTCTTTGCCAGTCGATCCATTTGCAGGATATGTCAAGGACAGTCTATAGAGGAGAGGACAAGGTTCCTGACCCTCAGCTGAGATTCATCCTGCCTAAATGGAGAAATTCACAGTGTTGATACCTAGACCTGAGGCAGTCCCTCCAAAATCCCTTCACAGTTAATGGGAAATGCAAACTTCTAGGGCTCAACCAAAAGGGAGTTGAGACAAATTGGCTCAGACAACCTGGATTCAGATAAAAGCTACCCCAGCCCAAATCCTTACCTTATGAAATAATATGGGTACCTGTCTTTAAAACAGGAAAATATTCTAAGTGAATGAAACGAAAAGAAAGTGAAGAATTAATTAACTAAATAGAGGTGATTAAAGTAAATAAAGGAAACAATTATCATATCAAAATAAAAGACAAGAAAGATGATTAAATGAGTCTTCAAAAGACCCGTGAGAAACTCATGAAAGACATAATATGCATTTACCTGGTTTTTATTCTTTCATGATTTCATTTTCATTTTTATTCACTTCCATCTGATAATTGCAAGAAACAGTTACTTTAACCATGGGCAATTTAAACTATTTTAATTTTTTTTGCAGGGCCAAGAGACGAAAGAACCTATTTATTGCCTGAGGGGATTTTTACTAAAATGAAAGCTTAATCTTTCATGTTTTTTTAAGCAAAGGCTTTTAAAAAATCATTTCTAACAATGCTGTAGGGAGAGACTTCCATGGGTATGCAAAATTGAAATTATAAATTTACAATTATAAAAAAATTAATAGTTTAGGGGATTGTATTGTCTCTGTTCTCTCTGAATGAATACTGTTTCAAGCTTAAGAGAAAGTATTTAGCACACGGAGGAGAATGAGAGTCCTTAGACTCTCCTGTGGTCAAAGCCAGTTAGTGAGGGTGTGTGAGAGAAAGATCATCAGGGTTTTGTTTGTTTGGAAACGTGTGATTGTATGAACCTTGAAGAAGGAGTTCCGTTCAGAGTGAACAGTCACTATGAGATGTTGAGTGTTTTTCTCTTCTTGTTGGATATATTGCAAATAGAAGCCAGCAGCAAAACTTGTTGTCCTCAAGTATCAGATGCCCTGTTGTTTTCTCATGGCCTGTTTTTCTGCGTTGCCAATGCATCAAGATTGGCCTGATCACCATCTCCTCCATAACAGTTTGACACACTGAAGCTTTCTAAATCTTATCTATGTAAAATTAAGCTGCCAGATGAATTTTAACTGAAGTAACCACCTTTTGGGGCTCTTATGACACATGTCTACAAAGGGCAGAACAAGAGCTCTTGGTCAAAGATTGATTCAGGAGACATCTTCAGGAGAGATACAGTTACATATGGGTAGAAACATGGGTATGATTTATGTGCCTGCAATGGTTTAAGGCATATTAGAAGTACATGCTCATGCCCATCCCTGTTCCATGCAGTATTTTGGCTTTAACAGCATCAGTAAAAGGATTAAATTTAAGCATGTACCTTTGCACTTGCCTAAATTCAGGGAGTTTTCTGAACTGATAAATATTAATTTAATGCATTATCTGGAGAGAAACATACATTTCTTCCTGGGCTTAGTGCAGGCTTTGAAATCAGACAAAATAATTTACACTTATGAAACACAACAAACTGAAGTGTTCTATTAAAAGAAAAACTAGACCAAAAAAATAGCCTCAAGGCCTCCAAATATACACACACTGAAAGGCAGATTTAAATGTTTTCTGCCAACATATTTCAGGTTTTAATGGAAATACTTTGAGCTACTATGAAAAGCTTTAGCGAACTAAATTCATTTTCCATAGAGCAGGGAAGAATCACTGAAGATATTATTCAGGTTTACAAAATACTCAATAAGGTGGAGAATGTGCAATCAGATAAGGAAGGTTAAACTGAAGGGTATTTTAACAAGGCTTGATTTTAGGTTGGTTGTGCAACATAAATAGGTCAATGGATCTATTAGACATAGAGTTTGACACACCAACCCGTCTAACATTACAAACACTTGTGTACAGCTACTATCTATAAGACTTTCAAGGGCAAATGTCATTCTGAATACACTGTTTCAAAGGCTCAATGCCCAGATTTTTTTTTGAAATCACACATCTTCAATCTGTAAGCCCAAACCACTAATCTCTTTGGAAAAACTGTGGTATCTGCTCTACAATACCCCCATGAGCAATACTAAGCTCTAATTGTCCCAAATGAATACCTGCACATGCTTCTGCAGACTTGGACATGAGATGCCAAACACCTTCCAGGTACTCAAGGAGCCCTGAGACCAGGTTGAAAGAGGGAAGAGCAAGTCAGCTAGGCTAAACAAGTAGATTGTGCAGGAGAGGGAGAGAGGAAAATGTGGACCTTAAGGGTGAATCTGAGTCCTGTGCTAGACAAAGAGCACAACAGAAACATGCTGCTCCCTGAGGTTCTGGTGCCACTTTGCTGCAGAGCAGCAAGGTGGAAGGAAGTTCATTTCCAGCCACTCTACACTGCAGTGAGCTATGCTGAGTTGCCCTGAGAAGTCTGGTCAGTATGGCTCCAGAAATGCTGAGCATGCTTTGGGAGAACAGGCTTGTCAGACATTTAACAGCTAAACTGCAGAGATATCACGGGGCATGCAGGAAATGCAACATTTCCACTTCTGTAAGTGTGTGACATTTAGACAGAAATACTGCAGAAACACTGACACTGAGACAAGCCTTTTGCAAAGCAATAAGCCCCAGCTCCAGGATGGAGGGAAGAGGTTGCTCAGGTTTTTAAAAAAAATATATCAGCAAACCAAAATTATTTTCACCCAACCTGCTTCTCAGTGATGTTGCAAATGAGTATTATTTTTAGGTCGAGGTGAGGCTCACACCAGAAACAGGGAAATTCTGCACAAAATTAATATTAGCCAAGCTGCCTTCCATTTAACCTCTCCCCCAGCCAAAAAAATAAAACTGTGATATAACGAGGAGCACTGGGCAGCTTTAACACCAGGCACCACACTCACTCCCAGTTCTATTGTGCAGTGAAGACTGTTGTCCTCACTGATGAGCTCAAACCGTCTGCCATGAATTACTTTTTCATGGGGAATAAATACACACTTCAACAAGATTAAACACAAACGTTCTTCAGTAGTGTCGAAAATAATATGAATGTTTTTTAGAACAGCAATAAACACACTTCATGATGCAAATAATTACACCCTGCAGCCTTTATGTAAAGATAAGCAGCCAGATTCTTGACTCAGCTCCACCACTGTAAATCCAGAGTAACTACACTGGATCTCCATGGATTCTGAAGATGCTGAAGTGTTACTGAACTTTGGATTTGCTCTGATTTCTCTCTGGGGTGTTGCAGACATGAATAGCTGAAGTCTACATGGTGGTCATGGAAGCCTCATCACCTCTTATCCTGTCCTTTATTCAACCTTAAAACTTGTCTTCTGCTTAGTGTAATGAAGTCAGAATCTGCATTCCTTCTGCATTTGGTATCAATTCTGTAACTGTAGTCTCAGTCAGGATAAGAAGAAAGCTCAACAGGCTACAGCAAGAAAAAGAGAAGGACTTCACAAAAATTTGTGATGGGTGAAGGCAATATTTGCATGATGAGCTAGGAATCAAAGATTAATCTCTTAGAGGTTAAAAAGAATGACCTTGGCTGATTTTTCTATAGGATGGGAAGAAGTTAAATTTAGCTTGAGTTTCCCATGCAATTGTAATTCCCACATAGACTTCTGTAAGATGGGTCTGTTGAGCTTTAATGGCTCCAGAAATGAGTCTGGAAAAGTGAACGTACCCACATTGGACCACTTGAAAAATTAGTTACTTGCTTCAAAATAACAGCAACAAAAATGTATTCAGATCTTAAAAGGCTCTTCAGGATTTATGTTAGTGCAGGACTCAAGACACAATCAGTGTTTTAACAATCATCTTCCCATTCATTCTCATGTTTGCACTTTGAAAGCAAGCACTCTGCTCTTACCAGGACTTGTGAGGGCTCCCAGAGCACCAGTCGTTGTGGAGAGAGGATTTGCATTGGTGGTAGTAGCTGAGGTTTGGGCGGCGGCTGCTGCAGCTGCTAAAGTTGCCAAATTCTGTAATTGTAAAGCGTTCATGCCTGTGTGGAGAAGCAACAGGGTTAATCAAAACATGTAACAAAAATAAAAAAAAAAAAGGCTATTTTCAACAGACATGGAGCTTGGGATGTACCTTGCCAAGAGATTCAGTTCTTCTTTTCACTCCCAAGACAACTATAATTTAGGTTCACCCAGAGCAGGTTGCCCAGCCCTGCATCCAGGAAGGTTTTGAGTATCTCCAGAGAAGGCAACTCCACAACATCTCTGGGCAGCCTGTTCCACTGCTCTGGCCCCAAATGGTATCTCTCTCCTCCCTTCCTTGGAGTTGAGAGGATACAGCAAATGCACCAGCCTATATTTGAGGGAAATTATATCTGGTTTGTGTCTCTTCTATAGGGGAAGTGTAGAATTAAAAGTCATTTAGACTCTGTGTGAAGCCCAGGTGCAACACTATTTCCTGACACAGCGAGGGGTGCAAAGAAGATAACTAACGTTTAAAATGCATTCGGGACAGGGTCATATAATTGGGATGAATACAATTTGTTTCCTCTGTCTCCTCTGAATATATCTACTAAGGCTACATTGTGCAGTAGCCAATAATTGTGCTGGTTTTCCTGTGATAGTTCGTTTCTAAAACCACATGAACTAAGAACATCAAACGAGCATCAGTTTGCTCCCAGAGCCCATCACTGAGGTAGGGACTTTCAGGCCATAAGCTCTGGACTGTGACACCATGTCACTCACTCATCTGCCATTATTTTAGAAGATGTGGGGGACATATATGTGCAATTCAAGGAGGACCTTCAAGAAATGGATGTGTTTAAATAGTAAAGGCTTTCATTTAGATGGCAAGTAAAAAAGGGCAAACAATAAATAGAATTTTTGTGAAATGGAAAAAATATTATGGAACAGCAAACAGCATTAATTTGACTTATATTAGAGGGACAGGAGTTTGTCTCTCCAGAGACCTTCAAAAGTACTTACATTTTACCTCAGACTAGCCAAAGTACTTAGGCAATTACTTTAAGGTGAACTATTTCAGTGAGGGACTAAAGTGCAGAGACAAGTTAGATGCAGGCATTAACCAGACTGGACCTTTCTCAGGATCCTCTGAGTAAGATACAACTGTCCACAGGGGTGATGTTCAGACCGGGTGTCTACATATGGACGTGAGAGAAGTGTTTGCCAGTGAGAGAGCATAGTTTTTGGTTTGGACACGAGGCAGATCTGCACCTTCTGCTTGAGCTCTCAACAGAATGGACAAAGTGCATAAAACCAAACTACTAAAAGATGTTTATTACATTCTTGTAGCCATGATAATGTAAGTACACACAAAAGGTTGGGTAGTAGGAAGAGCAGCACCTTTTCTAGACCAAGTGATAGAGATGGGAAGACTGCATGAGTTTTAGGGAACACCTAAAAAAGAGCATGAGTGCCTGGAAACTTGCCCAGTTTTTCCTTGATGTTAGGTTGTCTAGCAAGGGCTATTACTTCACCCCACATGCTTTGTTTCTCAAACCAGGGGAGCAAATAACAACAACTTGAAGAAGATGAAAAAAAAAGAAGAGGTTAAACAATACTTTGTAAGTATGTTTGAGAAGAAAAGAAATACAATGAAGGAGAAGCATTTTCTAGGAATTGAGAACTCTTGCAATAACGGAGAGTGGTACTACTGTCACATGCATATGTTGCAGACTCAAGTTGGTACAATCATTGAGCCCCATAAAGAGGTATTCATACTGATTTGGAACTGTGAGGTTAACCTTGATATAAGCATTTATTTGTGAAGAAACACACTAATTTAAATACATCGTGTTCCAACAGGCAGGTCAGGTCTCAGGAAAGCACCTAGCTTGACTGAGGTTCTAATGTTTGTGCCTCAGTCAAAAGCTCAAAGTCAGCTCAGATGTTGGTACTTCTGAAAATGTGACACAATGACAATGTCAGGAGTAAGGTTTTAGGTGACCTAAAATCCACCACTTGTAATCTGGAATGTACACACCACACTTGGAGGAATTACATGATCAAAAAACCTCTCAGGTTTCTTTTGAATGTTAATGACTATATTAACAAATAATGATTTTCTCAAACTCTACTAGCCCAAACTACTTTGCAAAACTCAATAAAGCTGCCCTAGTCATAAGTCATTATTAACCTAGACAGTTAGGTGTAACTACTAAATAAAGTGATCACGGGTCATTGTTGTAATTTAGAAGTCTTCTAAACCAGCTTTCACAAAATTTAAGTGCTTAGAATACAAAGATAACTCTGAAATGGCAAAACAGTACCTTAATTACACAGACATTTTGTAAATAACAAAGAACTAGATATTGGATACTCAAAAGAATAGAATGAAATTGCTTTAAACATCTCAAATCTTGAATCCTTCTAAGGCAGGAAAAGTTGACTGAGTATTTTAAAAACCTTTTATTTTTACTGTCAGACTAAAACGAAGTTTTGGAAGCAGCATCATATTAAAAAATAAATTTCTGAAACCAGAGGTGGTAAGGAGATTCATAACAGTTTTTAAATCCTATCTGTGGTTTAACCTGAGAATTTTTTTTTCAGTAAAAAAGTAGAAATAAATTCAGATACGCAAGCATAAGAATAATTTTGTCTTTTTTTTTTTTTTTAACTTACTCAGTGGTTTTTTTTTTTTTTCTTTTTACATTAAAAATCCTCTTTCTTTGATACTGGGATTCAACAATTCTGCAGATTATTTCAAACAAGATTTCAGGATGGAGTCTTAAGATGGAGTCTAGCTCTCTGCAAGCAGAGTAGACAGTGGTTCTCAAACTGAAATATGGAATCCATCTTCATCCTGGATTGATATTTGATTGTCAAATATAATTTACCTTCCTCTTTCATAAGAAATGTAAAGTAATTCACCAAAGAGTGTCCAGAAAACATTGCTGGTTTCCACTGAGGTCACATTTTGTGCCCTTCTGTAACAGAGACTTGGTAAAGCAGTAGGTTGGCCTCTACCATAGCAGCACGGTTTTCTGCCATCCACTGGTTCATTATTCATCAGCAGGATCAGTCATAATCAGATTTTATTTCTTCTGTGGGGAGGCTTCCACTTTGGACTTTTAAACAGCACACATGGCAGGATTAAATAATAGTGAATAAATACAGAATGGTACTAGGGAAGAGACAGCAAAATATCATCACCTAGAAATCCCACATGCTTCTGAAAATGCATGGACTTTTCTCCAAATCTCAGTTTAGATGCAAATGGATTCTGAAGCAATTTAATACTGCTTTTTCTCTTTCACTTCATGTGTGTGGCTCTGCCCATGCGTGCAAGGCTGCAAAAGGCTACGAGCAGAGAGGGCTGTGAAGCTGGAAGTCAGCGTACGCTCCCTGCAGCGCTCAAGGAAAAGCACAGCGGGCAAGACAAGGTCAACAGGCAGTGGAACAACCAACTGCTCTCTCTGGGCTCCTGAACCACTGTCGTGCCCGCGTGAATACAAAACAAACACCAGCTTTGCCTCATTCCACACAAATATTTTTTTTATACTGGGACATTTCCTGTGGAAGCACAAGAGGAACCCATCAACTTGATGAGCTTCAATGCCAAAAGAAGATTAACAAGAGCAAGGCGGTGACGAAGTTGTCTCTCCACCCAGTCTGCTCGACTACAGAGGTGACTAAAAGACACTGGCCACAAACCAGCTCTGCAGATGTTACAGGGTGTCAGCTTCAGTGCCTTCAGGAAAAGAGACTGCTCACTGTTGTCACACATGCGTAAGGGGACAGCAAAGAGCCCTGCTGAATCCAGCACCCAAACATGGCTGTCAGCCAGGGCTCACCACACACCCACCATCCAGCATGCTCCAGAGCTAATTGTGTCAACAGGTTTATCACTCAATATGTAACCTCTTTAGGATCCTCTGTCTGCTCAAACACATAAAAAGCAAGTCCTGTCATCACCGTTTCACGTTCCTCAGGCATTTTACCATTTCTGCTCCCTTTTTATTGGTTTCTCCCGTCAGCTTGTCAAGGGCATCAACATCTCACTTGGAGGAGGGAAGCCAAATGCTCTCCAGTCCTAGACCCAAAAAGTACTTTGCTTTCAAATGGGGATTTTGGTTTTGGAGTGCAGTCTCTTACAGAACTACAGCTAGCTAGAGTTCTGTGGGACTAATCTCTCATTCTCTCCCCTTTCACAGACTGTCTTCACACATTTCACATCCTACAGCTTTTTCAAAACAGTCCCAAATCCCGCTACAGAGCTGGACCGCTAGTGAGTAGATCATTTTTATTTGAAAGTGCTGCTCACTCAGCAAATGCACCACTCTCTGAAGAAATGCAAATTGCTTAATGCTGAAGAACAGCCTCATAGGCAGAGCTGCACATGAAAAATGAAAATCCCCCTGTAGAGGAGAAAAAAAAAACCCCTTCTGGGTAAGGAATAACTCTTGATCTTCATGATGGAGACAATGTTGGGAATTAAAGGGAAATGATTATAAAAACCAGAATCACAATACAGTTTGATTCCATTTTTAATAACATGTATTTACCAATGCGCTATCAGCTTGGCAAATATTCACGATGGCAAGGAAATTCAACTTTCATTTTGTTATTTGGCAGATTAAAAAAACAATTAAATTATGTACAAAACAGATGCACAGTATGCCTTGCTTGAAACTTAAGATTTTTTAAAAAATTATTTATAAGGATAGGGGCATGAAAATTTAATTTAATGTTCACCTTAGGTAATTTTGTGTCTTATTGTTCACAGCAATTACCATAAATCTACATATCAATAAGCGAGAACAGATGTCAGTTGTTACAAGTGCTTGCCAATCAGGCCTGTTAAAAAGTGACAGATGGATGGTGATAGAACATTCTCATAAGGCCTATTAGCACATTCACAGGAAATTTTTGTAGTGCTGCACAGTCACAGATGCAGTTCTGTGAAAACACGGGGAAATTTGAGAGCACGAGATTTACATTTTACAACTTCTTGTGCTGCCTCTGACACAAACTTTCATACAAAGAAGCAATTTGCTTCATTTCAGTCACCACAGCTTTTCTC